GAAACACTGCTTTAGAGGGAACAACACCCATTCAGAATTTATTTCTGAATCCTCCTCATTGGTTGGGAGGAAATCCCTCAGATTTCCTCCTCAAGAAACTTGGACTGACACAGCCCCCCCTAAGGATATGACCGCGGTCTGTACAGATCATGAATGGCATAGAAGAAACAGACAGTGATTTGTTCTTCCGACCTAAGTCTGCAAATTAGGATCGCCCAATAGGAGCAGCGTCCACAGGACAAGACGGAAGAAACAAGGTGGTGATTCAAGCCCCAGAAGTTCAATGTCTTGAGCTTTTTTACACACACACACAAACACACACACACACACCCCATGGACACGGCTGCTCAGTGCAACCGATCAGGAAAAGAGGAAAGGGGGAAATCCTTCTGCATGATAAAATTATAGAATTCTTTATTTGTGAATCCACTGTATTTTTCAGCTGCCCCGGAACAGTCGCTTTCTGGGTAGATTAAATGGATTAGAAATTAAACGTACACAGTGCACTAGACTTACATGCCTGCTGCTTTTAAAACTCTGGAAAGCTATCCAGTAGCTTCCGGCTGATCCAGCTTGCAAAGAAAACACTGATCTAAGTGGACCTTCGGCCCAGCCCAGCCCTCGCCAAGGTTACACCCCAATGCAGTGTGCCCTTCATTCTTTAATATGATACACATAACAAATACGGTACTATGTCCAGCCAGTAATAAATAAATGCAGAAAGCACTCCTAGCTAGATTCTTTATATTATACACATGCATTTTCATTGGGTTGTTTTATAAATAGAAATCAAACGTGAGGTCACACTTTCCCATCTTCTGCTTGTACACTAAATCAAACTTTTCATTCATTGAGACAGTGAAGATGTCTTTCCACAGCCCAATTCGTCCTGGAAGAGAGGAAAAGGGAGGAATTAGAGGGAGAGAGCAAATTAGGATGATGGTCACTAATAAGATGTAGAAGGACTTTCAGAAAAACCTGCCGTGCATCACCCTGCAAATTATGGCAGAATTTTGGGGCCACTTTAAGTCCTGAAAGTGAAGTCCCCGGTCCTGGAGCAGCCAAAACAAGCCTTGGGGTGTGGGAATTATATCTTTATCCATCAAAGAGTTGGACTCAAAACTTCCCACAATCCGATTCCAAGATCTGATTGTTCTGCAGCACCAGCCAGGCGTTGCCTTCACCACCTCTCCATCACTCCTTCTTGGCAGGTTCCACATCTTACCCATCATGGCCCAGCTTCCATCTCCCCTGCCTGTTGACATGGCTTTTAGAGCACTGTTTCTCAACCTTGGGCACTTGAAGATGGGTGGATTCAACTCCCAGAATTCCCCAGCCAGCCTTGTCCACCCATCTTCAAGTGCCCAAGGTTGCCATCTGGAAACTGTGCAAGGGGAGGGTCAAGAAAGTCAAGGTGGTGGCCCAACGACATGATTGACGCCCTGCTCCTTTTTTACACCACCTTGACTTTTCTGACCCTCCCCTCCACAGACACCCCTGCTGGAAACTATAACTAAGGCTGCGTCTTGCTCTTCCAGTGAAGATCAAGTATTGGGTCTGTGTATAACTGAGACAACAGCTGTGTATTACGGCTGTCAACTCCAGGGACATTTGAAAGGCGCTGAACTGCTTGTAGAAGGGTATGGAGATGGCCTTGACGCCATTATGGAAACATCCTGGAAGGGAGGAAACAGTGAGGAAGACACTCAAGATTGCCCTGCCTTGATTCTCTTGTGCATAAGAGGGGAGAAAGAGAAACTCTGTCAGATTTTTATGATCTGGTTATTATACCCTTGAACCAGGGTTCCTCAACCTTGGCAACTTTAAGACGGGTGGACTTCAACTCCCAGAATTCC